AACCGGTGATGATCTTCGTTCTATGCGTATGTTAGTTAACCAGGCTCTTCCGAAAGAATCCTTGATACTTACTCGTCGAACTGAAGGCAATAGATACTGTCCAGGTGCCCATTCAGATAGACGGGCTTAGCCTTGCCCTCCTTCCATCGCTGGTCGAGCTCCTCCTTGGCCTTGTAGATCTGCTTCCAATTCACGTCTGGGTTGATGGGCGGGACGCCCTGTCCTGTTCCAGGTTGAACGGGGAGACTAGTAGCGTAGGTTCCAGTCTTCTCGCGCAAGAATGACTCTCTCCAGACGTGTTGGTTCTTGACCATTTGCTGCCATTCCCGCGAAACTCTGCTCGCAGCGCCAAGAGCAGTGGCATCCAAATGAGCGAGAACCTGGATCGCCAACTCAACAGGGAGCTGCGCAATAAAGTTGATTCGGCTGATGTTGGCGTCCTGGACCTCCACCTCCACATCGACGTCCGAGTCGACACCAGTAACGGTGATGCCGATGCCGCTCTCGCGATCAGTGAAGTCATCAGAGGAAGCGCGAAGCCACTTGTTCTGGAAAGCCTGGTTTGAGGCAGCGGCAGAAGCCTTGGCAGCGGCGCCTGTGTGAAAAGGGATGATGGGCGGCGCGCTTCCACTCCCAGGGAGTGGCAGGCAGGGGAAGCAGTGATCAGACGCGGAGGCATCGCTTTGTGAGTCGGGGCCATGGGACGTCTTGGAGTGTCGAAAGCTTGTTGCCTGGCGAAGGCGGTGCCAATGGGAGTTGGCGTGAGCAGTGCCGGGACGGACATCATTTTGAGGCTCCTCCAAGCCATGAGCACCCCCGATCGAATGTCTCTTGTGATGGTGGACAATGCCCTTCAACGATATGGACGCCCTACGGAACATGCCCTTGATGCTACCATTGCTATTGCCGCCGTTGCCTCCCGCGTGTGCTCCGTGACCGTGCTTCTCAGAGTTCTCGTTGCTAGGGCCGACGTGGCTTCGAGATCGCTCGAGGGAGAGTTCCTCGAGATGGCTCGACAGTTCGGGTTCGATGTGGAAGATGGAGGATTTGCGGCGCCATGGGAGGGAGAGACTCATGCTACGAAGGCGATGTTGCTGGAAAGAAGGTCTGGCGTTGGCGTTCCCATCAAAGGCATCTTCCTGAATGGCGGAAGTGGAGGAGGGCTCGTCGTAGATAGCCTCCTGGGCCGGAGCCCAATCGGAGAGGATTTGGATGCGTGCAGACATGCTGTAGATGCGTACGTCGACGTCGACGCTGGCGACAGTCGCCTAGAGACCAGAACTAGAGGTCGAGATGGATCTTCTCTAGCTGACCTTGCAGACGAGACGACAAGGAAGGGTCCGGGGACGTGGAAGAGAAAGGGGAGGTCGAAACGGATTCGTGGGGAAGCGAACACAGCACAAATACCTAGGGATCATCACATGGTCAGTGGGAGGTTTGAAGGGTTTAAGGGAATAGGTAAGAGAGGGAGATGGGTAGTTCGAGGAGGTACGGAGGGTCTTGTCTCGGTTCCATACCTTCAGTCCTAGCTTCTTCTCCCTTTTTTGCTTCTTTTCCCCCTTCCTAAACCTGACTCTATCTGGCGCGCCGGGAAGTTGTACACTCGCAGGACGGGAATGTCTCGGACTTCCCAGCTAAAGGCTTGGAGCCACTGCAGGGTGGACAATGGGTGGATAAGCAGGTGGCGGCCAGTAAGGAGACGGTTGGGCGGAAGTTTTGGAGATTTTCGGGTGTGGTTCAAAGATATTGAGACAGAGAGCGAGATGGGCTGCAGCAGCCGTGAACGGGGTTGAGTTGCAGTGCAGGCGGAGGGCGGCAGTGGAAAGCTGAACCACGGAAGTCGGCCGGTGGCCCCTGGGGCTCTTTGGGGACTGAAAGGCAGGGCGAGCAAGCCGCGACAGGAAGAGTTGGTGAGGGTCCTGGGGACGGTTTGTTTGGGGGTTGCTGGAGACGACCTATTCAGGCCTAGGGGCGTCGAAATGTCAGGGTCGAAGGGTGTTCGTCCCCCCGGCTGGCCCTTCTTCTCTCTATGGATTTTCAAGGGTCCGTCCTCCTTGGGTGGTGGGAAGAGGGATCGGCTTCCTGGGGTTACCGGATCGGGTCTGGATTCGTCTGCGGGAAATAGGGTGGTGGACACACTACCGGGCAGAACGCGCCGCCACCCAGCGAGTCTTTCCGTGCTAGGTTTCTCGTCGAAGTACGGATAGAGGTGAAAGATGAGGGTGAGGACGGTGACGGTAACACGAAGACAGAGATGAATGAAGGAGGTCGAAGTTGGCAGACAGGTCCGATGACCTTGGAGCAGTTGGGCAGAAGCGTCAGGTAGGTATTCGTACGGTGCCTAATGAGCAAGTGAGCATCTGCCCGTCGAGCTGTGGGTGCCGTGGTGCCCTGGCGTGTCCTGGTGTGTGCCCGGGTGTGGGAGCGCGAGTCAACAAAGAAAGGGAAGAGAAGAAGAAAGAAAAAAAGGGCGACAGTGCAGATCTCCAGCCAAGTGCGAGCCTCGGGTTTGTGTGATGACTGGCGGCGACTAGTCTTTTGTGGTTGTTGGGCGACGGTTTCGAGTAATGTTGATGTAAATCTCAAGCCGGCGATGGGAAGGGCAAAGAAAAGTCCCGGTCCTTCCCCTCTGGTACCGAGTGCGGTACGTACTTGTATCCAGGTATTTCTTGGGTCTTGGGGAACGGGAAAGCCGCCTTTGCAAGATTCACCTACTTAGGTATCACACTCCCTCAGTTAGGTACTTTACTGTTTCTCAGATCTGTGTACCGGGAAGAAGCAGCGATGCCAGAGGTCAATACGGAACGAGTTGACGGCCGTTGAAAAGAACAACAACAGAAGCGAGATCGCCAGATTGGCGCTGACAGGTGCGAGAACGGTGCGTAGAAGAAGAGATGGAAACTAGGAGCCGGCAAGTATTCGTAGGTACACACACCCACAGGAACGAGAAAGGATGAAAGACGGCCTGGCCGATAGGTATGGGCTTACCACTGTCAGGCTTCACCTCAATTTGCTGTGAAGGCACTAGTGCTGGCGAGAAGTAGTTGAACGTGCGCCACGCCTGTTGCAGATTGCACGGGGTAGCCCGGGGAACCGAGTCGTCTTTGTGCGATCCGGATGGTTTTGTATACTTTGGTAGGTAAGTCGTAGGTGTTCAAATGATCAAACAGTGGGAGTTGATCCCAGTGGACAAAGAGGAAGCACAGCAGAAGAAGGTATCCCGTGACAATTCAACATCATGTGGGCATGGGATGATAGAGGAGTGACCGCGATACTTGAAGTCAGTGTGCCAGGACAAGAATACCGACTCTACCACATCAACATGCGCCGTTGTTGCTGTTGACATTCATCACACAGCGTCGCAATGTTTACATTCCGAATGGGCAAGCCATTCTCGAAATCCCGAACCGCCGCCTCATCTCGTAAGGTTGGCTGCAACCACAATGAAATTGCAGCGTGGCAGGCCTCGCGGGCGCTGTGGCGGATGTACCTACGGTACCAGGGCTGTCAAACAGCAGAAGGGGGCAAAGGTATCGGTACTTGGTGTTTCGGATTTTCGAGCCACTGAACTGCGAAACTTGTCTCTATTCCGGTGACTAGAGACGTATTCGATACTTCTGGTGAAAGAGAATTTTGCCAGGTCTCGATGCCAATTCTCGCTACCCTCCATCTTCTCCCATCCCGAAATCCCATTCCCATTTACAAAACTTAGTACCGTGGGCAGCCAGCTGGATCATTGAATTCCCACTTGCAGGCAGGTCGCAGCATCTGCCTCGACAGTCTCCAACTTCCCGGGGTCTCGGTCCCTGAATGCAAATACCCTGGAAATCCCACCCTTCCCGCATCGCATCCTTCAGGCTAGGCCGCCTGCAACCCTGTAAGCGGAGATCCAAAGTCAATTTCCGATGTTCCCTCTCTTGCAAACTCCGGTCTGGTCAACAGTTCTTTGTGCTTAACCTGGTGTCAGAGACAGCGGCATCCATTTGTGTGTGCCTCTTCGAGGTCGCAAGACGACGATAATCCAGAGGATCATATCCGTACAGATAGTCAACCATCAGCTTCGGCAATTGCCCTTACCCATTCCAGTCCAGAGACGACTCATCCTTTGACCCAGCATGGCGGACGTCGTTGGCATTATGGCAACCAGGCTCTGAGACCTTTACAATCGGAAATTGGCTGTCACACTCTTATGCAGCCGACGAATGAAGGGCAACGTTCCGTCCATCCACCGTCACATCTCACCGGTGCCTTACCGCCTGCTCCTATTGTTCTTCTGCCACTATGTGCCTAGTAGAGTACCCGAGTATTGCCATGAAGGTCTCACCTCTATCATGGCGGTGGGCTCCCTTGGCCGAGCGCTGCATTGTCAGATGCGTCTAAAACACAAAGACGGCGCGGATAAGCGAGCGCCTGGGAAACTCTTCATCTCAAGAATAAAGTTTCGGAAATGAGAGTGAATAACAGCCATATCCTCCTCGTCAGGGGTGATTTTGTGACCTTTCGCTTCCCCAGATTCTCTCGACATGAAGGTAAGCTACCTTTCATGTTAGATCGTGAGCTTCCTAGACCAAGTCACAACTTAAATACAGAGCGTTGAGCAATACATTAGATCCGTAGAAGAAAGATGATCGTCCCAATGATGGGCGGTATGATAAGCTTCTACGGTGACCTGTGATCGTCGACCTTGAAGCAGCAATGTAGCATCATGAGATCGCAAATTCCCATCTGAATTGCGTTTGGGGCACGGGCCATTTACCCTTACCTTCGGCTCCGGCGCGTTGAGCCCCGGTCATCCGGAGCTCAAGTTTTTCCTTGCTCCTGCCGATGACGAGAGGCCCAGTCCATCAGGGTGCCCGTCACGCCAGAATCTCCAGCGATGAGACGAAACCGCCCTGACGTCCCCTCTCAGTTCTCCAAGCTTCTCTCTCCATAATTCCTGACGAGAAGTTGACCTTCTTGTTCTCTCGTCGACGACATATCACTCTCAAGAAGCTGCAAAGATGCCGCCCAAACCTGCCCAATTCGGCAGAATAGGCCTCGTCATTCCGCTCTTCTACCGCGTCTTCTTCCTAGGTATCGAGCCCATCTCTGCTCTTGTCGGTGCCTATTACGCACACGTGCGACCCGACGACTATCTCCAGCTCACTCACGCCGTCTCAAAACCCGAAGTCATTCCCCAAGGAACCTCGATCGTCCTCTCCCAGCTCGCCAACCTATACCTGCTCTTTGCTCTCAATGAAGCCCTCGTTCTTCGCGCCACATCAGACCTGCGCGTCTGGAAGACCGTCCTGTTCGTGCTCCTTGTAGCCGACTTTGGACACTTGTACACAGTTCGAAGCTTAGGGCCAGAGGTGTACTACAACTTCGCCAAGTGGAACGCCATCGACTGGGGAAATGTTCCGTTCGTATACTTTGGTGCCTCGATGAGGGTCGCATTTCTAGCCGGCGTCGGATTAAGCGGGCGACCGGCACCTACAAGAAAGCAACAGTAGAGCATGGGGGAGTTCGCCAAGCTCAAATAGCCTACCCGGCCGGGATGTTGCTTACGCGCCGGAGAACCGCCCGATCATTGCACCGAGCCCGAGTCGCCGATGTTCGGTCCGCACAGAACCGCGACCGAAAGTGAAAGTTCTGGGAGACGAACTGAGGAAAAGGCGCCGTTGGCAAGGGGGGAAGAGGAAATAATGGCGAACGGAAGAGACAGTCCAAGCGAAGGCTGGGACAACCCCGAGCCAGTACCGACATGTTGGACTGGTCACTCACCCTGTCGGCGTTACGCATACCTCGATTAGCTACAGCGCGATGAAAGCATCGAACCAGTACGCATGACCAGACTGGATGGTTGGCTAGGGACATTTGCACGGCACACATGCACTCGGAGACATTTGCCGAGATACAGCGAAGAAGGGAGTTCAGACATCCAGTGCAGCGAGGTTGGCCCCTCGACGAAGAATTTTTGGTCCAGGCCAAGCCCGATGTTATCTGTGATCGTGGAGTTCCCATCCGCCGTCAAACGTCGAAGAGGGGATCTCTTCCCTCTGTATGGTGGGATTTTCGGCAGCCGGTCTCGGAAAATCCTCCGGACAATTTTCCTTCCCCAACTCCCGGAGGAGCCACCTCAAATCGAGTGGGTTTTGGGGTGCAATTGGCGGGCAACGGTGGGGTATCATCGCGGGGCAGCGCGACACGATGAATGGGAGGGCGGGTGAGTGTAAGAAAGTGACGAAGAAGGATGCGAGCTCGACAGGCTTACAGCAGAGATAATTGAACGGCAATCACGACAATAACGGATTCGATTTCGAGAAACATGTTCTTTCTTATGCAGTCCCTTTACGAACACAGCCATCTGCGACGGACGGACGGATGAGGGAAGGAAGTCAATGGCGCAAGATTGTGGAAGAATCGAATGAGAGGGCCATCATTTGCTTCCAACAAGCGCCTAGCCTCGAGCAAGGGTCCTGCCCCCATCTAGCTCCCATGGGCAGACATTGCGGCGCGACATAAGCCCCTCCTCGACCGAGCTGGGAGGTGCCCCTCACTCAAGGATGGATGTCCTACGCTCCACGCGCAGCGCCGCGACAAACGAGATGGTGGGGGGTTTCGGGAGAAGCTCTGAAAATGGTCAGGGTATTTCATCCGGCGCGGTTCCCTCTGCCCGTTGTGAGCAGCGTCCGAGCCTTTCTCCTCTTCCTCCTTCTCTTCCTCTTCTCTCGTGCCATCCGAACACTTCCTGTAATCAAATCGAGGTCGTATCTCGAGAGTAGCCAGACGAATCTACAAGACAGCTCCTCACTCACACTCAACTACCCATCATGTCGATTCCCGAGAAGTTCACCGGCTTCCAGGTCAACAGTGCCGAGACCTGGCAAGACTTCAAGAAGCAGGAGTTTGACCCCAAGCCGTTTGGTGACTACGACGTCGATATTAAGATTGAGTGCTGCGGTGTTTGTGCCAGTGATGTTCACACCATCAAGGGTGACTGGGGTGCTCAGCCCTATCCTCTGGCGGTTGGTCACGGTGAGTCCATGTGTCTACTGCGTAGTTGTGACCTGCTGGCTAACTCCGCTATGTCTAGAAATCGTCGGAAAGGCTTTGAGAGTCGGCTCCAAGGTCACCAAGATCAAGGAGGGCTCGCGTGTTGGTGTTGGAGCTCAATCCTACGCCTGCCTCGAGTGCCGTCAGTGCAAGAACGACAACGAGACATACTGCAAGCACCAGCTCGACACCTACGGCTCTACATTCCCCGACTCCGGCGCCATCTCCCAGGGCGGATACTCCTCCCACGTCCGCACACACGAGCACTGGTACGTGTGTTTGCTACTCTCGAAATGAGATGCATGCTAATCAAGTAACAGGGTTTTCCCCATCCCCGAAGCCCTCCCCAGCACCATCGCTGCTCCTATGCTCTGCGCTGGCCTGACAGCTTACAGCCCTCTGATCAGAAACGGATGCGGCCCTGGCAAGAAGGTCGGCATTGTCGGCATTGGCGGCATCGGTCACTTTGGTGTCATGTTCGCCAAGGCTCTGGGTGCTGAGGTCTGGGCCATTTCCCGCTCGCGATCCAAGGAGGCGGACTCTTTGAAGATGGGTGCCGATGGCTACCTGGCGAGCGGCGAGAAGGGTTGGAACGAGCCCCACAAGATGACTTTCGACCTCATTCTTAACACGGCCAACTCATTCGAGGGCTTCGACCTCTCTGCCTACCTTAGCCTTCTCGACGTCCACGGCAAGTGGGTGTCTGTCGGTCTCCCCGGTGGTGGTGGCATCACTGTTCGCAACCAGGACTTCCTCCCCAACGGCTGCTTCATTGGCAGCTCCCACTTGGGTAGCAGACGCGAGACGCTGGAGATGTTGCAGCTTGCTGCCGACAAGGGCATCAAGACATGGGTGCAGGAGGTTCCCATCAGCGCCGATGGTTTGAGGTCGGCGATGAACGGCATTGAGGATTCCAGTGTCCGCTACAGATACTGCCTGACCAACTACGAGGAGGCATTTGGCCAGTAGGCATAAGGACTGCATGGGTGCGATGTGAATAGCGAAGCAGAAGAATACCATTTAATGACCATCTACAATCAATTGCGTATCAGTTGGATCTCTACATCGGAGGACGCACTCATCACATCAGTGAATTATCAAATGTCCCTGCTTCATCATGTGTCAGTGTCGCGGCAGAATGCGACCTCATCGAAGAGTTCCGCCATTCCGGATGCTCATTTTCCGGGCGCATTTGTAAGTTATTCCCTTTCATCTTCTTTTGCTGGGTACCTAAATAGCCCGGTGTGCCCGGCGCGACCGGTGCGATCGCCGGTCATCGGCAACACAAACAAGGTTCCGCGGGGAGAGACAATGACCGACAGGGGTCTGAGGAGCTCAGCCATTGCGGCTGTGTGTGGTGACATCCCAAGCCGCCCGAGGAGACCGGGGTCTCGGCAAGGTGACATGACTGATCTGATCGATTGATCTGGGGAAAACGTCTAGCGTCTTCAATCCAACTTCGTCCATCAACCACATTTTTTGTTTTATCCAAAAGCTCTTCATTCGTTACACTGGGGAATCCGCCGGACGGCAGTGGATGATGCTGTGTTTGGGTTGAAAGGAAACAGAGAGAAACATTGACATCATGAGCGCTTACCTGGACGCCAGCAATGGCCCGCCGGCGGATGATTCGATGCCCAGCTATGAGGAGGCGGTCGCCGGGGGGTGCGTTTTCTTTGCTTGACATTTACGCACATGATCCGCAACAGTTCAACATCACTCAAGATATGCATAGATAACTGACCATATTTACAGCGCGCAGCGGAATGCAGTGAGGACACACTCCGTCTCGGGATCAATACAATCCCTCAACCTTCACGACGGCACCCTCCCACCATCAATTCTGCGCCTCAAGCACCTCGGCCGCGCAATCTGCCTCAACGGCCCCGTCACCTCCATCGCCATCAGTCCAAAAGGCTACGTCGCCACATCGCAAGACAACTCGGGCACCGCGCTTCCCTCCAGCACCAAGATCTGGGACTTTCCCCAGAAGCCCGGCGCCGTGGGCGCGCGCCTCGTGCCGTCTGACATCAGCAGCGACGCGCCTGTGGTCGTCTTCAGCCCGGATGGAAAACTGACGGCGGTGGTGGAGAAGGATGCAGGATGGAAGCGGGAGTGGCGGGTGAAGCTCCGCGCCGGGGAGGAAGGGCGAGGGGTGCGGTGCGCGTTGAACGGTGTCGGGCATCCCGCGGCTTTCAGCCCCGACGGGAAGAAGTTTGCGGCGGCGGATCCGTTGGGCGTTGTTGTTGTGTTTGAGGCGGCGACGAGTCCGCCGGGGATGCCACCTACGAAGAAGGTGGCGGGTGTGATGAACCATGCTGCGCCGACGCATGTTCTCTTTATGCCGAACGGTGCGGACCTCGTGACGCTGTCGAGAGACGGGACGGTGAGGATATCGGAGGCCAAGACGGGGAGGACGCTACGGCGGATGGAGGTGGATGGGGTTGTGACGGGGACGGGGACGGGGGCGCGGGCGTTGGGGGCGTCGCCGGATGGGAGGGTGGTTGTGTCGGTGTGGGCGAGGGCCGTGTATGTGTGGGAGCACGAGGCTGGGCGGGTATCGAGCTGGGAGATGAACAAAGTGCGGAACAACGAGGGGTGGCCGCTGGCGGTGTCGCCGGATTGTCGGTTCCTGGCGTGTCGGACAGAGGAGGGGATGGATATCTCGGATGTGTACTCTGGACAGGTTCTGGCTGAAGTGACGACCGCGGTGGGGATTGATGGGCTAGTGACGGCGGCGGCCTTTTCGATGGACGGGAAGATGATGGCTGTTGGGAGGCATAGTGGTGTTGTTGATGTGTGGAACTTGGCGCCCTATGAAGGATTATGATGATGGGAGTTTGTGTTTTTGTCTTGATCTGCTTATGACGATGCGGGAGGGAATGTTTTTCTGTTGGATTCAGGTGGGAATAGCGATGAATCAGGCAAAAGTGCTATCTTCATGTTCAAAAGTTACGGGAAACAAGGGAGATTACATATACAGATGTTGATTCAGGCATCTCATAAACCTATCTGAGGGAGCATAGTACGGAGCCTCAACCCAAAGGTATTGGTCTCATGACTTATCACCAGGGCATTGGACTTCATCTAGAAACCCCCAAAGGCGTTTCGCCGAAAAGCAGTGACCAAATTGGACTCGCTCCCATGTTTTGCATTATGTCGTCTCTTATTGTAGAAGTCAATTGGGACGGGATCTCCTAGTTCGGACGAATACCGTTGGATTGTTATCAGCATCTCTGGTTATTTCAATCATTGAGGGGATGGTATTTTTGTCATGAATACCACTTGATAGTTCGTCAATCGTCTTATGAAACTGGAAATCGAAAAGAGCTCCCAGAACGAATGCGACATGTAAATGAATTTCAAATATCATGCCTGGCCTGCATGTTTAGTTTGAGAGAATAGGAAGGTAAACATACTTCCTGCTTTCGATTAGGCTGTAAGCCGTGTGCTCGCG